GCAACCCCTAGCCCAAAATGTCAACTCCACTGTCAGTCACTTCAGCTTCAATCTTTTATATCCAGAGGATTATTGTGTTTGTTTTCCTCAAGAATTCTCTTTTTAAAATGGGATGAGCCTGGAGAAGTTCACCTTTTAAGCTTTTCGCAGCAAACATGCTAGTAATCACTAACAACCACAGGTTTAATTCAGCAGATGTTTAGTGAGCACTGGCAAGGGCAGGACACTAGGAAGACCTGGAAGGGGTAGGAGATCAAAACCCTTGCGCACATCCCCAAGGAGCCCACAGTCTAACAAAGGGAAAGAGATCCGTAACATGTAGGTATGACAATAAGTCCACTGTCCTCTGGGTCTCAAAGTACAGAGACAATACATCTGGCTGGAGAAACAGAAAAGGTTTCTCAGAGAAGACAGCATTTGAGTTGTGCAGAGGTTTGGTGGAATTTTGATGATGAAAGTACAGCAGGGAACATATCAAAAGTGATCTTATTTAGCTAGATTACGATAAGGTGAATGTAGCAACAGTAATAATTACCAATTATTGAAGGCCAGCTATGGACTAGGAACTTAATGTTTACTATTTCCAATAATATGGCACACAATATAGAAGGCACCCATGGAAGGCATGGTGCCAAGCTGAAGTTGATCTTTAATCTGCCAACTAGGGAGCTACTACAAGAAGTTACATATTCAGAACTGTAGTTTAGAAGGAATTTCCTCTGATAGCATAAGATTAGAGGGAAGGAGGCAAGTTAGAAAACTATTACAATAGCCTGGGTAAAAGGTAAAAGCCAGAAGTAGCATAGAAGCAATGGAAATAGAAAAGGAGTGGTATATGAGAAAAAGCACAGAAAAATAAGAATTGGACATTGTGGAAGATGAGGTTGATATTTAAGTAAGATAAGTCAGGGTCACAGCAGGGAGGCTAGTGATACCAGGAGCATCACAAGGAAACAGAGGAGGAGGAACAGTAGCAAGGGATGAAATGATGAACTTACTTCTGAACACACTAAGCTGAGGTGCACACAAAATTTGGGACACTGAGTCTAGAGTAGTACATCTGAGGTCACTTTTGGAGAAGAAAAGGATCTTCCAGGGAGAAGAAGGAAGACCACAGAACCCGAGGGCCCTTTTCCACAAAGAATCACCTGAAACAGCAGCTAAAACTGCAATTTCTTGTCCTCCACCCCTACCTACTGAATCAATCTCTGGGAGTAGAGCCCAGGAATCTGCAGTTTTAACATGCCATTCAGGTGGTTCTTATGCATTCTAAAGTCTACTGCACCAGTAAGAATCCCCTGGGCTACCCCTGACCTACTGAATCAGAACTGCTGGTGCGAGAGTCAGATCATCTGTATTTTAACAAGTGCCCTGGGTAAATCTAAGGCACATGGTCCAAGGATCATACTTTGGGAAACAAAAGGTTCTGGGGTGAGGAGGAAGCAAGATCCTAGAAGATGTGAGAAGAGAAATCTCTCTGTGCCTTGGCTTAATTAACTATAAAATTTGAGAATACAGTTATTGTGAGGATTATATGAAAGATCATTTGAAAAAGCCTGCTCTGCCTCTTCCTCACTTGAAATAATTCAGATCTTCATTATTTCCCATCGAAACTGCCACCAACTGATTTTCCTGTCTTCAACTTCCCTCCTCTACAATACCCTCCATACTAGCACCAGAATTATCTTCTTTTAACAAAAACGTAACCAAATAAAAAAAGGCATCCATTCTCTGAAATAATGTCACCATAATTGGTTATCTACTACAACAGAAAAATATCCAAACTTTTTAGTTTGGCATTCAAAGTTCTCCACAATAAGACACCAAACAACCACTCAGCTACCTCTCTGGCCAGAACACTCCTTGAATATTGCAATTTCACAGTCAGTGGCTCTGTACAAGCTTTTTCCCTCTGCCTATAATGAACAACAATATTCAACAAATATTTTCTGGCCAGGCTGGCCCGTGGCTCACTCAGGAGAGTGTGGTGCTGATAACACCAAGGCCACGGGTTCGCATCCTATATAGGGATGGCCGGTTAGGTCACTTGGGAGAGCGTGGTGCTTACACCACCAAGTCAAGGGTTAAGATCCTCTTACCAGTCATCTTTTTAAAAATATATATATATATTTTCTGGTCACCTACAATGTGCGAGACGCTGTTCTAGGCACTGGAGGCAGTGGAAAGTAAAAAACAGACAAGGTGTACCCTCATGGATCTTAGTCTAATAAATAGCATTAATCAAATAACCACACAAACAAATATGCAAGTGCAACCATGGATAAGGGCAATGGAGGGGAGGGACAT